TAACCCCCCCCCACCCGCCCCTAAACTTACAGGCCAAGATTTCCCTTTGGGACACAACTCTGTGGGGGTGGGATGAGCTGCAGTAGTGTTAAATTAACCCTGTGCCTGCCAGAGAAATACCTGGGGGTTAAGGCTGCCACCACTCCCTACCAGTGGTGAGTTGTTCAATTGGCAGGGCCAATGGCATTTGACACCCCTGCACTTAGGTTATGAGCTATTTGTGACAGGGGCTCCTGTGCCACCATAACCTACATCTTAACAGACCCAACAGGTTCCTGCCAACATTGCTGCCAGGGTATATTATTAGATGGTACTAACTGGATTGAATAAAAGGAAAAGCCTTTTATTCAGGCACACAGATTTGCTCAGCCTTAGAACACTAGCTGTTTGACCCCAAATTCACTTCATCAGATCTAGTGTCTTCTGCCAGGTGTGTGTGTGTGCACGTGTGAGCATGTCTTGGGGGCTGGCCAACAAAGGGCTCAGTCTCAAGTCACTAGTCTGATGACAGCTACCTCTCTTGCTCTAAAACCTTCTGTCCCTTCACCTCATAGAAGTCATGTTTGACATTAAGGGGAGACTTGGCAGTTTGCCAGGATAAACTTACCTGCACCAACAGATGGCAGCCACGATTAAAGCAGATATCCCAGCTACTGTGCATGCCACTATCATCCCTGCAGGTAAAGCAGAAAGATCAGAGGGAGTCAGTCCAGCTCACCTTGATGCTACTGGGCAGAGTATCATGAAATGGACTGAGGGGAAAGCTATGGGTTAAGATACCTGCTGAAAGAGGAGGGGGTGGCCCTTGCTGCCAAGCCCCCATACCTCCCATGTCAGCTTTTGTGGGTACCATTCACATACACTTAAGATGCAGCCGCTTTGATAAATGCATTTCTGCCAGGCACACAGAAATGGTACAGATGCATGTATGGTACTGTGATGCTTGATGATGTGCTCTACAAAGGGCACTGGCATGGGAGGAGAACAAAGCTGGTGCGACTCAGGTTTCACATGTGCAAGCTTTGAGCTTGTTCTGTTAGCTGGCAATCCCATAAAGTCTCTCTGCAAGACACTCTAGGACAAGGGTGTCAAACTCATCTGGCCCTATGGGCCAGATTATTGGTCCAGGACCAATCCACGGGCTGGATGAACAGTGCAGGGTCAGTCAGCCCTGCAGCCTGGATCAGGCCCACAGACACCCCCCTGGCATGCTGGACTCACTGCACGCTCTGGCTGGTCTAGGGGTGTGCTGCATTTGTGCACATTACAAACCTCATGATGCATGCAGCATCCACCCCAGACTAGCTACAGCAGGTATTGCATGTGGCTCATGTCCTGGACTGGCCAAAGCAGGTACCATGGGCACTGGATCCCAGCACACAGTGATGGGGTGGGGGGGCCTGGACTGCCCCTGAGTGGGTGCTGCATGCATTGTGGGTCCTGGAGCAGGTACCATGTGAGGCGTATCTTAGGTCCTGTATATGAGGTGGTCTTGTGCGCACGGCATACCACATGTGAATCCACACAAGACCCAGGGCCAGCACTGGGGTTCTGCGTGCTGCACCTTTGACATCCCTGCCAAAGGGGAAAAATCCTGCTGTACTGCAGCGTATACTACATTTCCAGCAAGGCTTCAGCATGGGCTGTAGAACTCCGGTCCCGAGCCAGACTTGCTGGCCCACCATAGACAGAGATCAAAGCACCAGTTGCTTAACCTTTTCCTTCACCACCCAAGGCTGCATTGGGCCTGTTTCTGACTTCTAATTCCAGAGAGTCAGGGCCTACCAAGTATCAGGATGTCACTGGAAGGGACAGGTGATGCCTCAACTGGAGCGCTCTGTACTGGCTTGGTGGAAGCAGTGGGATGAGATGTTGTTGCCTTGCGGCCTGTTGCGTCCTTCTGCAAGGGCTCCCCTCTGAGCACATTGGCCTCAGGCAGCTTCCTTGCAGGGGCTGGCGTTGCTGTGGGAGAGAGGAGAGAACAAAGGTATCAGCAGAGACAGGGCAGGCCTACTAACACGGGGAAGGAAGCAAACAGATGTTTGAAGAGGAGAAGAAAAAGAACAGAGCTCTCTGCTGAAAATACTTGGTGAGTGTTATTAATGCACTGAAGATCAGTGAGAAACGACACCATCTTTCCATTTGGGAGGATGCTATAAATCCAGGATGCAGCCACTGGAAAGCCAATAAAACAGTCCATTTTGGAGCTGCTAACTCCTCCGGCCCTTGGGTGAGCCTGGGTCTTATGTATGGGCTACAGCAGGGGTGGGCAAAATGGTGGATCTGTCTGGACTCCATTTCCCAGCAACCCCTGCCAGCATCACTGTGGCCAGTTTCCATGGAGACCCCAGCAGCGCAGGGCCATGACAGCGCAGGACCAGGGCCCCAGCAGCACTGGCAGGGTGCACGGCTGGGAGGGGAGCTGCTCCGGCGCTGGGGCTAGGATCTTGCAGTGATGACAGCATGGTCCAGAGCTGGGACACTGCTATGATCCACTGCCTACACTTCCCTGCCCAGGGCATGCGGGCAGCGGATCACAGCTCTTCCCTGGCTCTGGACCATGCTGTCACCATTGCAAGATCCCAGCCCCAGAGCATCTCTCTGCCCAGCTGTGTGCCCTGCCAGCACTGCTGGGGCCAGTCTCCATGGAAAGCCTGGCCCTGCACTGTCACGGCCCAGCTGCTCTTGGGGTGTCCATGGAAACTGGCCACAGTGACACTGCTAGGAAATGAAGTCCATTTCAGGTGCAATCCAGCCCATGAGTCAGACTTTGGCTGTTTCTGTAGTCCAGAGGCAGGCCTTAATTAGACAGCAAATCCCTTGGAGAAGACGTGCAAAGCCAAACACACCCTTCTCCACCCATAAGAAGCATCAGCAGCTCGTGTGCCTCTGGTTCATCCGAAAAGGAGGATAAATGCCAAGAAATTCCAGGTTGTGGGATGGAGCAGGGAGGGACAAGAATATTCCAGCTCCTCGTACCAGAAGACAGCCCACCAGCTCCCCTTCCCTCCAGTCAAATACTGTGTGCGTCTAGAGACTCGTCTCTTATTGAAGAAACTCAAGGCAGAGCCATCTGTCTTACCATGACAGAAACTGAGACACCTGGGGTCTATTCCTGGCTCTGCTGTCAGTCATGAAGCTTCAGAAAGGGGCTTCCTCACGCTTTGTAACTGGTAGCAGAGCCAGGAATAGAAACCAAGTGCCCTGATTCCTGGTTCCCTGTTTTAACCACAAGCCACTAGGCGCTACAACATGCCCAGAAAGCAGGACGCTGTTTCTTGCCTGATGAAGGGAAGTGCTCACCCCCCCCTTGGCTCTGGTCTTACTGAATTCAGGACCCTCATCAGAAACCAGAATGATGGATGTTCCCACCATGGTGAATGGTCCAGTCACTGATTTTTTGACACATCCGCCACCAAGGAAATGCCAAACAATGCTGGATTGGAAAGTCATTAATGTAGCACACACGTGCCAACCTCTCAAAACAGCCACTGGGACAGTCAGGCTTGGGAGCAGAACTCTTCAGAGGGCCCAAGTTTATTTCCTTCCTACCTCTGGAAGCCTTTGCGAGGACACTGGATAGATCAGTTACAAGCGTCTCGACTGAACACGGGGACCTCTGACCCCCAAATTCCTGACCCTGAGGTACAGCACAGCTGCATGGAAGTGGCCTAGCACATTGGTTAAGAGGAGCAGGCTTCTCCTGGACTTACCATCCTGTTGCAGATGCTGGTAAGTGGCATCTTGCCGGGACAGCACATCAGCTAAGAAGTCAATTTCTTCCTCTAAGCTGGGAATAGAAGTCCTCCCTAAGGAGAGAAAAACCAGCATAATGAATTCACTGTAATGGAGTCGGGTACATTACACCTCCCAAAGGAACACAGTTCAACACAGTCTGCCCATCCCATCCCATCCCATCCCATCCCAATGTATCTGCTGTACGGCAGTGCATAGGGTGAGAGAATCCAGCTCCATGGTCTAACCAACAAGCTATAGCAAGGAGGATCCTGCCTGAGCAATCTCCTCCAGCAAGCAGGGCCAGCTCAAACCCTGCTCAGAGACATGCTATATCTTGCACCCCTTAGAGAAGTGTTTTTCCAAATGCAGCCGCTGAGCCATGTGGCAAGGCCTGTAGGATCGGTTAGCCAGAAAGGGAATCACTTGTGCAAGAAATGCAGTCAGCACCTGCCCCCCTCCCTTTAAGCACCTCAGCATCCATTCATTGGGGACCTACCCAAGAAGCAGAGAGACACCAGGCAGTTAATTGTCCAACTTGCACCTACTCAGCCTTGTTATTCCAACTCTCTATCCTCAATCCCACCACTCCCAAAACACACAGATGATCCCAGAATTAAGAATCCAGGGATAACCCCTCCCTGCTCCCCTCTCCCATCATTGTGAAAAGACCTATAAGCAGAGAAGACCTTGGAAAAAAATTCCAACTGGGCCGTACATTTATCAGTGATGGACTGAGAAGGCTGTGAGAAGCAGGAGGGGAACTCACAACTGAGACAGCCTTATGTATCTCCCACATCAGGGCCATAGCCATTAATTACAGAGAAAACCCCATTACCCACAAGTGACTGGATTTGATCCAGGAGGGTGCATCAGATGGTAAATGCTATGCCCGATCTTAACCAAAACTAAAAGGGCAAGAAAAAGCCATCTGAAAACAACCAAAGACTAGGTAGAGAAATGGGCTGAAGTCCTCTGAGAACAATCCAGCTACATTTCTTAAGAGAAAAAACAGAGCAACACTAAAGGAAGTAAAAGCTGTTTTGAATGTACAATGCTAGTCCCAGATAGAATCACGCAGTGGGCAGGTAATGGAAAAGTGATATTTCTTCCATATCTGATTCCTCAGAGGGCCACAAGCCCATCCTGTGCTACATATAAAATCTGAACAATCACTATGATGGAGAAAGTAAGGGAAAAGAGAAGCATGATGAAACAGCTGGCCAGGGGCAGGAAACAAAGTGATGAAAGTACATAGTGGTGCTGTGCATCCCGGAAACAGCAAACAGCCTTTCCCTGAAACGGGAACTAAGTGAGTGTTGCACAAGACAGTGATTTAGGTTCATCACCATCTCTTCGAGCATTGCTTCTCACACTTCAACCACGCTGACTCAGACTGGCAAGGCTGAGCTGAGCAGACACCTCACTCTGTGCTGCACTTGGAGATGCAGCATTTGGCTATTGCCCACGGCTGCATAGCATAGAGGCAGTGATCTGTTCCCACTTTGGTGACTCAGCCAGGAATAACAAGTGACAACAGACCAAAAAGTGGGGCAGAAAAGTTCATGGGGAGCAAAGGGTAACTGGAAACAGCAAGCTCTGGCTGTGCAGCGTGGCTGGCCTCACAACCCCCAGCCATAAAAATGGGCATCAACACTGCCCTGCTGACTCCCAGCTGGCTCATCAATCAGGCAGCATCACCAGCATTTGCAGGGCCCTCTCCTCAGTGCTTCTCCCAGCAACACCCCCGCTCCAACCACCCCAGAGGCTGGTCCTGCTTGAAAGTCAGGACAGGCTCCAAGCTGCAGGTGGGGGGAAGCAGGCAGGTCAGGAATGGTGGCACTCACAGCCCCAAGTGGGGGGGGG